TTGAAAGAATTTAATATTTAAAGAGGAGTAAGTTTAATTTTTGGTGAATTATAAACCTGCTAATTAGGGTAAAAAAGAAATTTTTTTTTTGAAGAAGACACTAATAAAAAAGAAAGAGTGTAGATGCCCAGATGTTTTAGCAAAAAAGAGATGGTGTATTTAGAGAAGACAATGGGGTGGGGGACTGGGTATGTGCAGATTTTTCTGCAAATGAGTAGGGGTATTTGGAGAAGGTGGGGGGAGGGGGGCAGGTGTTTCTGCAAATGGGTATGGGTTTTTGGAGAAGACAATTCGGGGGTTTATATTTTTAATCAAAATTCATTATCTACAAATTGTTTTTGACAAATGTCGTCATTTAATTCGTCACTTTACACATCATTTGCAAGTGTAACACGTGTAACACACACCTCATATATTTTTGTTGATTGGCAAAAGAGTGTTAAAATGACATAGCGAGACCCTATAAGAAGTGTCTAAAATGAACATCGCCCACTTGAGGTGCGTAAGTGAAACTTCGTGCCAACTTTAAGGGGTCACCGATGGGTTAGACCTCTGCTTTAAGAAGGAAGAGCAACCACATCTAAATGCCATTTTTTTAATGGAAAAAGTTTCATGACCTCAGTTGTGTAAGATCGAGACGAGTTTAAATGGAGCGAAATGAGCAGTGAGAATATAACATGGTTGATTTTGACTAGTTTGAGATTGAGGTATAATTGAGGTTGGACTACACTTCTTTTTGCTAGCATTTGAGTATAGATTTTGAATTTCTTTTGAGAATGTGTGTTCAATTATAGTTTTTGATTTCAAACTCGTATGTTTTGAGAACTTCAAAAAATACTTATAAATTTGACATAAAATTATCATTTTTAAAATGATAGATCATGTATTATCCTAAATCTTACATAAGTACATAGCACAATATTTTGATAAATTATAAATAACACAATTAGTTACGAAAATTCATAAGTGAAAGAAACAATCTCTTTACTACATAGAAATTGATTGTGATCATAAATAGATGATTTTTTTTTAATTAAATATAAAAGTTTGAATTAGATTGAATGCAACCAAGCAATGCGTCAAAAATGAAAGAATCCATTTGGTTATTGATTTTGAAAGCAATTTTTGGATCCATGAGTGAGATTGATTGGGGAGTGGACGGGCGGATCTACCCTATTAGAATGTTTTGTTTACAAAATGTCTCATCAGAATATAGATCTATATCCAATTCATTTGTTGGTAATATACTACTATTTTTAATTAATGAGTGTTAGAATTTGTTATTTTGGCCTCTCACATAAGCAAAAAGAAATAAAAACAAATTTTGGCCATTTCAGCGAAGTTAAGTATGAAGAATCCACAATCCGTCGCATATCAATTTCTCAAAAATCTATTTCAACTCGCCTCGCATATGCCCTGCCCTGCATATTTCAAACCCTCCCCGTCCCGCAAAGCCTTATGATGCAAAAATATCACTGCCGGCAGAACATGAGAGGTAAGGTAAATCAGGTATTGTACCCTTTGTGTGTCTAGCCTGTCCAAAGAAGCATTTGAGACACTCTTATTATTATTATTAGTTGTTAGCGTAGATGACAATGCTAATTCCATCTTGTTGTATTTTGTCATCGTTCAAAAGAACAAAAACCCATAATTTTGATGGCATACATGTTACTATAATTGTTGCAGGCAACGCATATGGAGCTCAAGCCAAGGAAAATGGATGATGATAAAGTAAGCTAATTGAAGAAGTATATACATCACTGAAGGAAAAATTTACTGGCTAATTGATAAGATATCGGTTGATTTAGTATCAGATTAGTAATTACTGGATGGTTACTTGATGATGTATATATAAATATTGGCACTCTGTGTTAACTTGTATATTTTATGACACCAAAATCAGTAAGAGAGAAAATGATCCTTTCTTAACTCAGGAGTCGGGACTAATATAATTCTGCATGTTAGATAAAACTTAATCATCACAACAAAGTACTCTTTAGGCCCTGTTTTGATTGATTAAAAACTCTTCTTTGAATATATGTTTGGTCATGAAATTTTGGAATTCATTCAGAAATTTGAAATATACTACTAAAAAGTTTGTTTGCATATTTTTTCTCCCACTATTCACAAAAATTCTAAAACAACTCCAATTTATAGTAATAGCCAAACAACTCCAATAGCCATAAAATTTACAAAAAATATTTTCACTGAAAACAATTTTTTTTTTCAATTACTCACAATTTCATGACCAAACGCCACCTCTATGTGTGCTCACATGGGTGTAAGCTATTCTACAGAAGGGCTTATTTATTTTTTTACTAAGACAAATGGTCAATATGCTTTTTGAACTACGTGAAATTATCTAAGATGTGTCCCTAATTGTTCTGCAGGCAACAACATTGGTATTAACCTCCAATAACATCGTCCCTATCCCCAAGCCTCAAATGGAGCTCAAACAATTAACAACTTCACCAACAAATTAATTATCCACCTCTACCAAAACTACATCACACAACTCAAACAATCAAAATTTTATTAGGGTTGTTGCTTTTTTGGCCAAAAAAAGAGGGGAGGAGAGAAGAGAACCATAATGGAAACCTATCCTAACGTGGTTCAATGCACTTCCACAACAGTTTGAGGGAGTTTGCTACCTGTGAACTTTTACTATTCACCCTTTTGGAACTCGAAAGCTCAACGATGATGACGAGGAATACCATAACATTATATAGTTGAAATTTCTATGGCCTATGTGCATTAAGATAACTAAAGGTCAACTATGACACTAATGAAGATATTTAGGTCTGAAAGTGACATTTCACCCCTAACCACGACTTAACAATCGATTCTTGGGAATTTTTCTTGATAGTGATTTTGTTGCTTGTAATTAATATTTAAATCGACAATCAGAAGCTCAATGAAGTTGATTTCACAGCAAACTACTTGTGAAAAAGGATGATAAGACAAAAATAAAGCTTTATTTCTTTCAAAAACAGATTGTTGCGTTTCACTTCTGTTGTATTTGATATGTGAAGTACACAATAACAAGGCCAATCAAAAGCTTTAGTTACCATTAAGAGGGTTCTCTTAATGGAAAACATCAAGATGGAACCACATTGAAAAAAAGAAACCTCTTAACCTCAAGAACCACATTAAATTAAAAGATGGAACTTTTAAAACATCAATATAAAAGTTGTTTGTTGCCAATAAGAAGAGAACCTCTTAATGGAAAACCATAATACTAGCAAGGAAATTATGATAATCAGCTTCTCCCAATTAAAACAACTGGGGGAGAAGTGAAAAGCAAATTAGAGGGTTTCAATTCCCCTCAATTTTTTTCTTCAGGTTTGGGATCTTCCTTGATTTCATCAGCCCCATCATCCTGCAAACCAAAAGTAGATAGAATCATGAATCACATCAACACCACAAACACCCCTTTGTCAAAAAAAACAAACATGATTGCAAGATCATATGATTATTACCTGCATATCGGAGGTCCAGAGAGTGAGATTGTCACGAAGAAGTTGCATGATCAAAGTGCTATCCTTGTAAGACTCCTCTCCCAATGTGTCCAACTCAGCAATTGCTTCATCAAAGGCCTGTTTCATAGGAAGAACATGATATCAAAAGGAAGACACTTTTTTTCGCAGCTGAGATGCATAGATTGCTGAGAGAACAAAAGGTATCGACAAATCTAAGATAACCTGGTAGTTAAAAACATCTAATCTATATGGAGATTTTCTTACCTGTTTGGCAAGATTGCAAGCACGGTCGGGAGAGTTCAAGATCTCATAATAAAACACAGAGAAGTTAAGAGCCAGTCCAAGTCGGATGGGATGTGTTGGGGCAAGCTCAGCAGATGCGATATCCTACAAGCATTGTAGAAAATGAGAAAAACTGAACATAAACAAAACAAGATTGTTCATACCATAAACAAGAAATCATGGCTAATTAAATAACATCAGGCCACAATTTATTTCCAACTCTCGAATCAGCAAAAGGTCAATTACTCACAAACAGAAACAAATTCAGCAATTTTATCTGCCAGAAACATATTTAAACTAATAACCCAGTCTACATGAGGAGAAAATCCATAACCACATATCCCAAACAACATCAATTAACATATACTGCGAGCAAAAAAGGTATTAAGGGCTGAAATGTTATCTATATACAAGTACCCTGCAGTTGTGAATCAGCAATAGGTCAATTACTCACTATGGAGGAGCATTTCATTATATTATGTTGTTCCTTCATTAATTAACTCCAAATTATATTATACCATAAGTCATAATATTATTGTTATGCGAAAAGTCTCATAAATAGAAGATCTACTGAGAAATATACAAATTAGGAGGCTCAAATCTGCAGCAAGCAGATCCGTAAAATCTAATCGAATCGATAAACAGATCAAACATTATCTAAATAAAACAAATTAAAAAACAAACCTGAGCAGCTTTGTAGGCAGTGAGAGTACTCTCAGCAGCCTCCTTACGTTCAGCACCGGTCTTGAACTCAGCCAAATAGCGGTGGTAATCTCCTTTCATTTTCAGGTAAAAAACCTTAGAATCACCAGATGTTGCAGAAGGAATAAGCTTAGAATCAAGCAATTTGAGAATGCCATCACAGATCTTAGAGAGCTCGTTCTCAATCTTAGATCTGTACTCGCGGATAGAGTTAACATGTTCCTCATTTCCTCTAGACTCTTCCTTTTGCTCGATCGATGAAATGATACGCCATGATGCCCTACGCGCTCCGATCACATTCTTATACGCGACGGAGAGAAGGTTTCTCTCCTCCACGGTTAGTTCTTCCGAGCCAAGGGAGTTGGAGACCTTCTCCATGAATTCAACCATCTCTTCATACCTCTCGGCCTGCTCCGCCAGCTTTGCCATGTATACGTTCTCCTCACGCGCCGTCGGTGCCACCGCCATGTTTAGATTTTTTTTCTCTGTGTGCTCGGAAATAAGTTTTTTGAGATCTGAATGAAATGAGAGAGTTTTTCGATTTTCTGAATTGAATTTAAAATTGAGAGAAAGAGGGCTTTTTTTGAATTGAGAGGAGTAGAGAGATCTTAGGATTTTGTTTTTTCTTTTATTTCTAGAGTGAATCTAGACCGTTGAATTGGTAAAGTGATTGACAGCAGGGATTTGAGCTGTATTTAAAGGCGTAAGTGGGTCTGACTTGGGCCTAGGCCAGTTGTTCTTGGGCCATAATTGGGCTTACATTGATTATCACGTCTGGCCCATTGTTTTTACCACCATTTGTAACATTTAGCTTTTGTTGCTTTTAACAACTTTTAAAAAAAAACAAAATTGTGTATGTTGCTTTTAACTACACTTTGGCTATAAAAATTATTCATTTTTTAATTTAATTTTCACATTATTTAAAAATTCATGTTTGGTCATGAAATTCAAATTTAAAAATAATTTATAACATGAATGTAATTTCGTACGGTACAAGAAGTATAATCAAACATAACTCAACTTCAACATCGACTTCATAAATTTCAAATAAAATGAAGATATTTGGAATCTGTGTACGGCCTTGTAAGTGGTAATCCAATGAAGTCCTTGCAATTCGAAATTCTCATTCGTTTTGTATGTTCCAAAAGATATTCTAGAAATCTGATTCTAAAGTTTGAATTGAAAAAAAACAAAACAAAAAAGAAGTAGACACTACTACTAACTTTCAAGAACAGTATTAGTGAAGTTCCCAACGAAATTCTAATTTATTCAGCAGGAATATTGAGGGCATGGAATAAAACTTTTGTTTCTAAGTGGCCAAGTTTGCCTACTCTCAATGTTATCAACAAATTTTCGATAAATATTTATTCGTATCGAATATTTATATCATATTCATGGGCCTCCAGCTTTATAGGCTTATAGTCAGGGGCGGAGCTAGGTGGGGTTTGTGGGTTCGGATGAACTCAGTAACTTTTCCGTAAACTCTATATTTGTACTCCCTCCGTGCACTATTGTTTGTCATAGTAAGATCATGCACAATCCTTAAGAAAAATTTACTATAATGTGCAATTTGACTAATATAACCCTAATATCAATCATTATTAAAATGGTTTGTACTTTTTGAAAAGTGTAAGAGCAACTTTTTTTACATTAAAGTAGTCTTGTAACTTTAAAATAACTACTTTTTGAAACTAGTAGTTATGTAATTATTAAGGCTAGAATTGGAAAAAAGTGACTAATTGTTTCTTGATTGTTTAAATTGACAATTAATGTTGGATAGCTATTTTTAGTATACCTGATAAACAATAGTGGATGGAGGGAGTACTGGAAAATTAAGTAATAGAGTAATTTGTGAACCCTAACAAAACTGACTGACAACTCAATGATAAGGAAGGGGAAGAAAATTTAGAACTCGCAAACTCTTAATATTGGTTTCGCCTATGTTATAGCTATACTAAAAAAAATTAAAGGGGTTGAAGAAAGAAATGGGGAATGTTAGTGTCCCTGAAACATGCCTATTCATGCATGAAATTATGTTGAATAATACTATAACTTTACTAAAAAAAAACACATTCATGAATGAGGTGATTTCTTTTTATATATTTAGATTTTTGCATAATAGTATATGTCCTACGAGTATTATGTCAATCAACTTTGTACATGTTTAAGTGTCAACTTATGCACACCCACAATTGGAGGATATTATATATGTGAAATGAAGTCAAGGTAAATGACATATTTATATATTATATTTTAAATCATTGTTTGATAAAATTACATTGTGTTAATAGAAGATATCACATGAAATTAATTAGAGTGTATGTGGGTTAATTTAAATTAATGCAAACACCACAGCTATATATAAAAGGATACATCCTATACATTGCAATTACTTTATATTAAGTTGTTGGAAAATAATAGCTATCAAGATAGTTCGGAAACCTCATTCATAAGAATCCATCTTATACACTACTATTTTAATATATTATATAATATTAGTTAAGTGATAGTCATATATAGTAATATATATATTAATATGATGCATATAATGCACCCACGTAGTATGTAGGAATTTACTTTTCATATTTTTATATTAGAAGAAGCAAAAAAAAGTGGAGTGGGGGGTCAAATGGAAAGGTCCCCGCCATTTTAGGCGAATGTAGTGGGTGATGGGCATGGACGGTGCGAGTTTGTTCGTTACCGTGGTCCACTACATGCGGTTCCTATATTTTTGCTGAATTCTAGTCTATATTGAGGTAAACTGTCTACGTCTTATATTTTTTTAATATTTTTTTTTAAATTATATATAATATGAATATGAGATATTTTAGGCATAGATTTAAAAATTTTAAATAAAAAATGTTATCAAAAAATAATTTTATTGTGTATCTAGAAGTCAAATTATACTCAATTGTCTAAATGAATTCAATCAATTTAAGCAATTTTCGATACACTCTCAACCCTTTAAAAAAGAAAAAAGAAGTATAAAGCTATATATAAAGTGTACTTCCTAATTTTATCTTTAGACAAGATGCCTAGGAAAGAATGGGGCTTATTGCTTTTGAAAATCCACAAATCAAATTGAGGATAGTCATATGAACTTAGATGACATTTTTAAGCAAGACTCTCTAGATATGTCCAACACCACACTAGTCGAATAAGGTGAAACCTTACCTGCTTCTCACCCACCATGTTGTGATATGATCATGTTAGTACCATTGTACAAAATAATTGTATGCCTGTCGTATTAGTATGTGTTTAATTGTTCATTGAAAAAAAATCAAAAATAGCAAAGATAATAGATATAGTAAGGCTTTTTAGCTATAGTTTCGACAATTGTGCTCTATAGCTATAGTTATATTATTTGCTATGGAGGCTGCAACTAGTATATTTTGCTTGTTCATTTGTATATTTCGCTTGCAAATATACATGATAAAATTTTACAAATGGAGGTTGCAGTTTGTAAATTTTGCTTGCCCGTTTGTATATTTCGCTTGTGAATACACAAACAAGGTAAGTATGTATAAATTTTATATTTATTCATTTATGATTTTTTTTAGAACACTATTTGCATATTTTGCTTGCCAATATACAAACAAGAGTAATTTATTATGAGTTTTTCATACTTCGGCCATAGATTTCCCAAGTAATATTTGGAGAAAAATTTAGCAAATAATGTTTGTCTATACAATTTGCCATTATTTGGCAAATTTTTTTGGCAAATATACCAAATTCCCAAATACTAGTTTTTTCTAGTATTTGGGCCAAATCTCATTATTTGGGATTTTTTTAAAATTGAAATTTTACACCAAACTTTTATCTTTTACAAAAACACCCTCTATATAGTTGTTTGCGTTGTATTACATAATATTTTACGTGAAGACCAAAGTAGTGATGAAACAGTGAATATGAAAGTGATGATATGGTTGTTGATGAAAATGATGAATAATTGGCTCAGGGTAACAAAGTCATGTGCTTTGTTTGCTTCACGATGCATGGAATGATGCTTGTTGCACTCACTCCAAACTACCACATTGCTCCAGTGTCATGGACACTACTTGTTATTTGTTGCAACGAAGATCCAATTGACTTGTAATACAAACTTATGGCTAGTTTTGATAGTTTTTAAAACTTATGGGTATAAATCATATTTTTCTAAAAAAGTGAAATTTGTTTCCCAAATACTATGGCCAAACACATGGTGAAAATTTCACCCAAATAATATTTGCCAAAATTATTTGAAAATCTATGGCCAAACGTTAGCTTCGTATACAAATAACTAGGGTAAGCATATACAAATTATGGATTTATACAATCATCAGGATACCGAATAGCAAAATTTTGCGTACTATATTTAAGGATTAGAAATAATCGAAACCATAGTTGTATTACTTAATATACTCTAGATGTTTGTTATTTCGCTTAATTTTTCCTTGTTCGTATCCTAATTCAATCGGCCCATTATTATGGGCCGCCTCCATTGTTTTTGGTGGGCTGATCCATGTTTTAGAGGGTCTCATTTAGGTCCTAAATAGTAGCTCCTCCATTTCAATGGAGTATTATTGTGTACTTTAATTTTTAGTACACCTAAGAAAAATGTCATTTTCCATTTACATAATAGTTCTTTAGTCTCATCTTTCCACAAGAAAAAATTGTGACTGTAAATGAATTTGCACTAGTTTCATAAGTGGTTGACAATTTTAGCATTCTTTTACGTGAATATACAATTATATGTATTGACATATATATCATGTATCATTTGTATGTCATGTGTATATCATATATATTTTACTATATGTACAGTAATTCATGTGACATAAAATTGACATATGCACAAGATAAATAGGCCATACACATATACAACCCCTCTAACTTGTCCACATTTTTCATTTTGGCACTTTATCTTAGCCTTGTTCCATTTTAACCCTTGAACTCCATTTTTTATGTTCCATTTTAACACGAAATACTATTTTTATGATTTATTTATTTTTATATATATTCTTCAATTGCAACTTCTTATTTTAAATCGACATGTGTCATTTAATTTTAGCTAAAAAATTAAAAATTAACAAAAAATAATTCTTTTTAAAAAATAATAATTTCTTTTTAAGAGTGTTATGTATTTTCGTGTGAAAAATAACCGACGAATTTTCTTTCTTTAAAATCACTGACAACCTAATTATAACAAAGTCAGTCAAGTTGTAACATTGTTTAGTAGTGTTATTAGCAATGAACAAGAGTCTTTTTTTAGTAGTGTTATTAACTAAGTCAATCGAGTCTTTTTGAAGATGGGTTTTTTTATTCGTATTGATTTATATTAAAAATTAAAAGTGAGTATTTGCGTTAAATTTAGATAGCCTAGATGATAAGAAAAAATAAATAAGTAGTGTTATTTAATTTGATTGAATGTTTAAGAAAGAAAATCAAAGAACTTTTGTCAATTTATTTTCATGCAAAAATACAGAGAAATATCAAAAAATAATATTATTGTTTGAAATTTTTTATGTTCGTTCGCGAATGTTTAATTTTTTTAATTAACAGGCACACATCTATTTTTAAAAAATAAGAAATTGCAATTGAAGAACATAAATAAAAACAAATCATAAAAAATAGTATAAGTGTTTAAATGGTACAGAAAAAATGTAGTTTAAGGGTTAAAATGGAACAAGGCTAAGTTGGAGTGCCAAAATGAAAAATGAGGGCAAGTTTAAGGGGCTGTATATGTATTTGGCCAGATAAATATGATAAATAGTGACATACATATGATATTTAATAATTGGCCAAAGTCATCTGTAGCCCCTTAAAGTTGTCCGCATAATTCATTTAGACACATCAACTAGGGGTAGTACCTATTGAACACTTTAACCTTAAAAATTTATATCTATTAGACACAAAATGTCAATCAGTTGAAAAATAAAATTGTGTGTAGCTCAAACACAAATACATAGCAGGTGTATCAATGAAACAACGACACGTGGCGGTTGAATTCAATTTTTTAAAAGTTCTATTAAATAATCCAAAAGGAATTTTAAGAATATAAAATTAACTTTTTAATTAACGCCCCCCCCCCCCCCCAATCCTCTCATCTTCTTCTTTACCCCTTTCCGCCGGCGTCGACACACAAATAAAACATCTCCCCACTCTTTCATTCCCTTTCATCGGCATCGACAACACCTCCTACCCATTGCCTTCATCTTCTTTCGATAATAAACATTTATCACAGTTACAAAAATAATAACAAACTTTTGCCGAAAAAAGAATTGATTCAGTTTTCTTTCATCAAAATAAATGGAGTTTCGCCAAAATATTTAAAACCGGAAAAAACAGAAGAATAGTTGGAGAGGGTGAGAGAAGAGAGAGAGAAAGTTGGTGGGGTGGGGTGACATGGGAGGTAACCGATAAGTACAGAGATGGTGGATGAAAATCATTGAGGTTGTTCCTAGGAAGAAGACGTCCTTTTTTTTAATTGTTAGTTAATTGTTTTTGGTTTCTTTATTAATTAATGTCAAGGTCAATAAATAAATAAAAAATGTACTTTTTTCAAGAAATATAAAAAGGAAAATGTTTTTTCGGCATCTTCACACGCCCATGGAAAGTGAATCACAAACGATTTGCCATGTAGGCAAAAAATGCTTAGACGGTTCAAATCTGGGGTGGTAGAGGTGTTCAATAGGTACTAGGTGTAGTTGAGGTGTCTAAATGAATAATGAGGAAAACTTTGAGGGGTCGTAGATAACTTTGACCTTAATAATTTTACCACTAGATCACCACCCGAAAATACCACAACCATCCATTTATAAATCACCTTATACACTTACTACTCAAACTATTATTACAGTAGACAATTGCTATTAGGGAGATCTTCTGTTAGCTCAAGATTGTTACGTAGGATTGAAAGATTCAACTAAAGAAAAGAAAATTAGAAAGGAGAATGAGATTTTCTCATTTTATTTGGATTGATTACAAATGACTAAGATCGTATTTATAAAAAAAAAATACCATTGGTAATTAAAGGTCCTATATCGTTGTACGGTCTAAAATTGTGTTCCAGTTTGATCAAAGAGCCCAAATTCAAAGGAGCAGGACCAACATGAAGAACTCCAATCAATTTATCCACCAATCTAATCACAACTAGTGGCAACTTTTCTGCAGATCTGACCAGACTTTTCTTCTCTTTTTTTTTACATATAATAAAAATATGTACCTGGACTAAGTTTTAGATTCCTATGGGTAAATTCTTATTGAAATTCACCAATTAAAGATAAATGTAAAAGTTCTTCCTACCCACTTGAGCTAATTAGTGACGACAATAGTTGAACAACGTAGTACCTGCCAAGAATGTGTGTCCAATAAACTCTCAGCTAGTAAACCTCTGAATAATTTGAACCCCTTTTGCTCTTACTGTTGAATATTGTCAATTCTGTAAGTCAATAACAGTAGTGGAAAAAAAAAGTTTGATTCTTTCTGAAGAATCTGAAACCCCTTTTGTTTCTTAATCTTGATGATGGAGCGTTATGAGATAGTGAAGGAGTTGGGTTCTGGTAATTTTGGAGTAGCAAAGCTTGTTTGTGACAAGAACACTAAAGAACTCTTTGCTGTTAAGTTTATTGAAAGAGGCCAAAAGGTTTCCCCTCTTTTATAACCTTAAATTTGATGTTTTCACTCTATCTAGGGTACTTTATTTATTTGTTTGTTTGTGTTTTGAGGTTGTTTGCAGATTGATGAACATGTGCAAAGGGAAATCATGAATCATAGATCATTGAAACATCCAAATATAGTGAGATTTAAAGAGGTATATGTTCTGCTTCTTACTAATGGAATGAATCTTCTTTTATCTTTATTCTATAATATGCTTTGATACCTATGGGGGTTCTGATTATTGCTGTCATCAGACTTACAAGGAACTTTCATTAAGTTAAAGATCTTTTTTTTTGAAAGAATTCTTGAGGTATGGAGATAGCTTCACATAATGATAGGATCAAAAATGTTAATGGATCTAATTACTAGAACAGAAGATCTCGTTTGTAATGTAATGACAGTAACAAGATTCTTATTGTTATGTGCTAGTTGTCCCTCATCGGATAAAAGAGAAATGGGAAATGCTAATGAGTGTATAGGCCAAATGGGCTCCCCACCTATCAGACTAGTCTTTTTGGTTGGCCTCTCCTGTTTGGTCTATAACAACTATGTTATGTTATGATTTCTTTTTGAAGAACTCTGTTGCTCGCAATTAAATGCAATCGTATCTTATGGAATAGATTGAAAGCTATCAACTTTTCTGGACAGTAGCTGTAATTTGATGATTTGCATATTATATTTTGTGGTTGATGATAGCAATTTACAATTAGTAGGATTACAGTGGCTGTTCAAAATAGTTTGTTTTTTTACATGAATGGACTTAACACTTCTAGGTCTTGCTTACACCTACTCATCTAGCAATAGTAATGGAGTATGCTGCGGGAGGAGAGCTCTTTGCGAGGATCTGTAATGCTGGAAGATTTAATGAAGATGAGGTAAGGATGATACTTACACTAGATCCCGCAATTAGTCTTGGCTTAGAACAAACAAACTGTGTATTTTTCATTTGATTTTATAATGTTTGCTTATGATAGTCAGATCTTTGCTGCCTCTTTACTTGGTTGGGTTGGGTAATATGCCTTTTACATTCATGGTAAAGTAGTAGTCTACCATGACATTCATATGGTCCTTTGATGTGGGAAGTCCGCTGGGTAGTAGTCTACCATGTCATGGGCTCTGTTGATGAGTGAAACTAAACTCTTAATTTCCAAGAATGCCGTCTTCTAAGTTGAAAGCATAGAGTGATATGCAATGAGAAGTGTCCCTTTAAATATGTTATCAGTTGACTATCTTCTTGTGTTTATGCCAGCTCTTCCGAGCAGACTCTTTTCTAGTTTAAAATCATCTGAGTGGCTTGGTTATATTTATTTTTTACTCAGGCAAGGTTCTTCTTTCAACAATTGATATCAGGGGTTAGCTACTGCCATTTCATGGTACAGCATCAATACTTCTCTTGCTGTGAACTTCGTTCAGTCCTCCTTTTGGGACTTAGTATATCTTTGGTCTTCCGTTGCAGCAAATCTGTCATAGAGATCTCAAATTGGAAAACACGTTACTTGACGGAAGTGCTGCACCACGTGTCAAAATATGTGATTTTGGGTACTCCAAGGTTACTGATCTTTTCTCTAGGTCTTATCAATTCTTACATCTATTCGAGATTTAAGTTCATATAGAATTGCTACATTTGTTTGCAGTCATCCGTCTTTCATTCTCAACCTAAGTCCACTGTGGGGACACCTGCTTATGTAGCACCAGAGGTCCTAACAAGGAAAGAATATGATGGAGAGGTGCTACATCTTTCTTCTTTGTCATAATATTTGTAGTATACACTCATGTCTCCTCCTGTTAATTCTTGAAACTATAGCTTGCAGATGTTTGGTCCTGTGGAGTCACCTTATATGTAATGCTGGTTGGAGCTTATCCATTTCAAGATTCAAGTGATCCCAAAAACTTCACAAAGACTATTTCTGTGAGTGATGACAACATAATCAGATTTCTAGTAGATGAAAAAGAAGCATGCTTTACTCTGAATTTAGTTTATCAGTTTGCTGCATTTATTGTTCATGCAAGTGTGAAGCATTGAAAAATTTACTGCAGCATTATGATTGGCTAGTTTCCATGACAGAAAATACTCACCGCTCGCTACTCAATTCCTGAGCAAATCCAAATTTCCCTTGAATGCCGCCATCTCATAGCCAGGATTTTTGTGGCAGACCCTGAAAAGGTAATAAAATCATATGGTCTTCTGCTGATCATAGAATAGTTCATGCGTTGTGTCCAAGTGAAATATCATTATCAGTAATTAACTCATTGTCTCGATATATATATATGTATTCTGCTTAGGTGCAAGGTTCGTTCCCACCAAAGGCCTTCCATAAACTTGCTTTCGTGTTTCTTGTTTCATGTTATATTGCGAATATAATGTGCCAAAACCATAAATGCATGCTGATTATACTTTTGCAGAGAATAACCATTCCAGAAATAAAAATGCATCCCTGGTTTTTAAAGAACTTACCAGTGGAACTGATGGAAGGAGGAAGTTACCAATGTGCCGATGTAAATAACCCTTCCCAGAGCATGGAAGAAGTTTTGGCGATAATACAAGAGGCTAGAGTTCCTTTGCTGGTTGGAACACATTCTTATGGGGGCAGTATGGAACTTGATGAATTGGACGAAGCTGATATTGAAGATGTAATCGAAACTAGTGCTGATTTTGCTGGTTTACTGTGATGTGTTACACAATGCTGTAATTACCTTAGGGTGAAAGAAGAGAGCAATTGGTAACTGCTGTAATATCCTGAGTAGACACTCAAGAGTTCACCCTTTAAGTTGCTCATAGTTTTTTTTTTTTCCTTTTGACTAAAAGGTGTTTACTACTTTTGAAATCTTGGCTTAGTGGAAATCTGGTCTTTAAACACACACTTGTACCACAAGATAACAGTAGTTTTGTTTAGATTTCTGGAATTAGATCGTTTTTTTTTACACAGTAGAATTTTAGTGGGTGATCCTTTATCGTATATAACAACATTCATATAGGTGAATACAGAGTGATTGACTGAAGTTGCTATTTGCACCAAGTTATCAGTTTAGTTGCATAGATGAGCTGTTTTCGAAAGCAGGACGTGAGTTAAATAAGAAGTCGTAAGAACAACCACCAAGGCTAAGCCTCCTTACTCCACAATCATTGTTTCAAGTTTTTGGTAGATAATGGATTTTGTCAAAGTTTTGAAGAAATGATCAGTAGGAAAAAGGGGGGGAAATATCAATAAATTGCCTCAAACAAATGTTAAGTGCACGCTCGATTGGACTTATTCAGCATTCATCAATAAAACTGAAAGATAAAAATTAAAAAGAACAAAAGAAAGTTCAACAGGAGCCTGTATAACTATTAAGATCTCCCCATACAGCTTCCTCGACTTCTTCCCATGATTTTGCCATCTTCAGTTTCTTCCAAGTACTGAAAATAGCTCCCAGAACATTTTCATCATGCAAAATACAGTAGCACCTGTACAGATAGAATTCATTGAAAGTGAGTTTAAACCACTACTCCATGTACGAATAAGGTGCGACAGGGGGAGTAGTAATAAGTCATATAGAATCAATGGATTCATGAAAAAGTAAAACCCATTGATGACATATTTTATCACAATTAATATTTTTTGGCTAATAGAGGGATCAAATGGTATATAGTTCATTTGTTGGTAGCTTGGAGCATTAAAAGCACACCTCTTACTTTCCAATTAATTGTTTGCATTAATTGCACGTGAGGGGTTATTTCTTGGTTTCGTCCGGTCATTAATAACTTGATTAGATAATAGTAGATAGAAACAACGGTTGTAAGGAGTCAAGGAGGATGAGGTTCCAATCTGTTCTATCTTCATCCACAAAGCTCATGTTGGCTAACACAGAGAACATCCGGAGACTCTAGTTCTAATAATCAACTAAAACCTCCACTGAATGATCTCAAGTTCAAACTCCTAGTGTATTCAGCATGTTAAACAGTAATGCGCGTAACTAATGACTTTCAAAGTGATTTAGGGGTCTGATTGAGAATATGATATTGGTGGAGAATCAACAATTCTGAAAATGACAAATCATGCATTGATTTGGTGAAGGTCGAGGGTTATGGATTGTAAGGTATGAGTTTAAATGTTATCAAAACACGTCTTACTATCTTCAAATGGTCAGATATTGTATAAGCTCTGGTAGTGCAATTTAACTTTGAAGAAAAAAATGTCTCCAATTGCTTAATGAAAACCAATGACAACAATATAGAAGAAATATGACATGAGAACATATTACTCACATGGCTCGGTAAGAAAGTCTCTGAAATCCATTGCTTTTAGCTGATGCATTCACTCCTGTTTTAACAAATGGAAGTTTATAGCTATCCAGAAACTGCTTCAGTAAATGTGGATCTCCTCTAAAGATATCCAGGTGTATTGGGATTAAGTCAGCAATCGGGTCCCCTGAGAAAAAATAACTGGTTACTAATCACAGAAACACAAATGTTTAAAAATAAAATGCAAGGAATGAGCATTTTACAACTTTCCGCATATGAGGTTTTTAGTGATGCAAGGATTACTGTGCGAAATCGAGTGATCTACTTGTAGTTAAATGATGGCGGGTGTAGTATTTTCACACGAGACTGCCAATTAAATATGCACCAAAAAGCTTCTCTTGTCAAAAGTCAGAGAAACCACCCAAAATAAGGTAAAACCTTTTCTTTTTTTAAAATAGACCCACTGAGATTTGTTGATTAGCTCTCACGTTAAAATAAGTAAAGCTAATCTTCAAAATTCAAGGAGGAAAATATTCAACTGTACATTAGAATCGGTGTGCCAAAACATACAAGAAAATAAAAGTTTTTTTTTCTTTTTTTTGAGAATTGGTAACATTAAAATAAAAGAAAATAGTTCACAAATTATACTTACTAAGCAGTAACTTTGGAGTACCTACGAATATGACTCTGAAACTTTTCTTTTTGTTCTTTTTGTTTTTTTACTTATTTGTTTAAATAGGCAAAGCCTGCCTCTTAAACTGGTGCCAAACTCTAAGATCCAATTCAGTTCCATATTAATTTCCATTTTCTTTTCTTTAGCTATTTCTTTTTGTGCTAAATAATCATTGACAATCTAATATGCACCATAAACTTAACCAGATTCATATGACATGAACAATAATAAAACAGTTCCTTTCATAGACATATCTTAACTTCTACGAATTATATATTATTTAGGGACAAGTAGTAGAAGACTAATACAGTACATATAAGAACATGGTTCATCCATCAGGAAAAGAAATAAAAAACAACCAGCAGACCAAGCCCAAAAAGCAAGTTAATAGTTGCTCAATAACTCACCAACAGATAGACCACTGAAATCGAGTATATGAGTAGGTCTCCATGCACGTATAGGCCCACTCAAATTAGATCCATTTGCAGAAACATTGTCAATTAACTCGGGATCATCAGTAGTCCCTCCAGAGCGAGAAGTAAGGGAACACGGTTCCATGTGGATATTGTCATCCATCACATCGGAGTGTATCCAGGTACAAGATCTGACTCCCATGTCAACCTTAAATAGGAGACCATAAACAAGAATCAGAGAAATGCATTTTCATCAGAGAATGAACATAAGTGCCATCGTCACTAGCAGGAAGGAAAAAGGGACAAGAAGCAATGAAGTGTCTTAGCCAATTGAAGGAAGTCTAATCAACTTCATCTTTAAATATAAGAACCTTTTGGAGGTCATCAGGGATGTATTCCTTGACTTTCTCAATCAGCTCTCTAGGAATTGGATCACCCCTACAGATTGAAACAGATAAGTCTCAGATACAACTATGCAGTAGCAGCTCAAATCTTCGGTGCTTGTGCCAGCATATGTAAATGCAAAGGAAAAAACTCATGTATAGGTACCTCACATTGCAATAGAGTAATACAGCAGTACCCAACACATACACATTAACAGGCAAAAGAACTGTCTGAACAGAATTTGTTCTAATAAGGAACAAAGAAATTTTTTGATGAGCTTAACAAGAGAGTTGAACATTAATCCAGTAGAAAACAAGCAGCCCAAAATCCAACACACAAATTAATAGGAAGTGTTTGTCTAAATATAATTCTTTCCCAATTCTAAGTAAGAACTGAATATATCACGTCCTTAATGTGGTGTAGAGGAGAGTTAAGCTACGGTAATATGCCTCCCCTACCATCTTGGTGATGCAATATATAAGTAGTAAAGAAGTTGTTAAGGATTTTATCTTCTCAAATCAAGAAATGACTTTACAAGGTACTTTCTTTGTCCAAATTTAGGTATCTCACGGAATTTCAAATTGAGTTCATCTTTATAAATTATTTCACCACAACTATTAAGGGAAGAGTTGAATTATATTTTTGTGTGTTTAGTGTATACATATGTGTGTGTGTATTATTAATAGAGTTGGAACTTACTATCTTTCAATCAAAATTAGTCAAACAAGAAAGAAATTTGACTTTTTCGAGACTTTGAACATTATCTGAAATAAAAGTGGATCTCAAGCTACGGTTCTGGTCACAGAGTAACATGTAGGCTGATCTGACACCAAATGAAGAGACAACCAAGAACACCCCCCCCCCCCAAAAAAAAAAACAAATT